ACTCAGACTGTGCTCTGTATGCTGACCCTCCACTCACACTGCGCTCTGTATGCTGACCCTATACTCAGACTGTGCTCTGTATGCTGACCCTATACTCAGACTGTGCTCTGTATGCTGACCCTATACTCAGACTGTGCTCTGTATGCTGACCCTCCACTCAGACTGTGCTCTGTATGCTGACCCTCCACTCAGACTGTGCTCTGTATGCTGACCCTCCACTCAGACTGTGCTCTGTATGCTGACCCTCCACTCAGACTGTGCTCTGTATGCTGACCCTATACTCAGACTGTGCTCTGTATGCTGACCCTATACTCAGACTGCGCTCTGTATGCTGACCCTATACTCAGACTGCGCTCTGTATGCTGACCCTATACTCAGACTGTGCTCTGTATGCTGACCCTATACTCAGACTGTGCTCTGTATGCTGACCCTATACTCAGACTGTGCTCTGTATGCTGACCCTATACTCAGACTGTGCTCTGTATGCTGACCCTCCACTCAGACTGTGCTCTGTATGCTGACCCTATACTCAGACTGTGCTCTGTATGCTGACCCTATACTCAGACTGTGCTCTGTATGCTGACCCTATACTCAGACTGTGCTCTGTATGCTGACCCTATACTCAGACTGTGCTCTGTATGCTGACCCTATACTCAGACTGTGCTCTGTATGCTGACCCTATACTCAGACTGTGCTCTGTATGCTGACCCTATACTCAGACTGTGCTCTGTATGCTGACCCTATACTCAGACTGTGCTCTGTATGCTGACCCTATACTCAGACTGTGCTCTGTATGCTGACCCTATACTCAGACTGTGCTCTGTATGCTGACCCTATACTCAGACTGTGCTCTGTATGCTGACCCTATACTCAGACTGTGCTCTGTATGCTGACCCTATACTCAGACTGTGCTCTGTATGCTGACCCTATACTCAGACTGTGCTCTGTATGCTGACCCTATACTCAGACTGCGCTCTGTATGCTGACCCTATACTCAGACTGCGCTCTGTATGCTGACCCTATACTCAGACTGTGCTCTGTATGCTGACCCTATACTCAGACTGCGCTCTGTATGCTGACCCTATACTCAGACTGTGCTCTGTATGCTGACCCTATACTCAGACTGTGCTCTGTATGCTGACCCTATACTCAGACTGTGCTCTGTATGCTGACCCTATACTCAGACTGTGCTCTGTATGCTGACCCTATACTCAGACTGTGCTCTGTATGCTGACCCTATACTCAGACTGTGCTCTGTATGCTGACCCTATACTCAGACTGTGCTCTGTATGCTGACCCTATACTCAGACTGTGCTCTGTATGCTGACCCTGTACTCAGACTGTGCTCTGTATGCTGACCCTCCACTCAGACTGTGCTCTGTATGCTGACCCTCCACTCAGACTGTGCTCTGTATGCTGACCCTCCACTCAGACTGTGCTCTGTATGCTGACCCTATACTCGGATGGTGTTCATTATATACACTGTCATTATACTATGTGTGTGGATTAGGATTAGTATGTTCAATAACACTATATACCATGTCATTACACTGTGTGTATATTCTATATTATACGTATAGTGTGCGGAGGGCAGGTGTATATTCTATATTATACGTATAGTGTGCGGAGGGCAGGTGTATTTTCTATATTATACGTGTAGTGTGCGGAGGGCAGGTGTATTTTCTATATTATACGTGTAGTGTGCGGAGGGCAGGTGTATATTCTATATTATACGTATAGTGTGCGGAGGGCAGGTGTATATTCTATATTATACGTATAGTGTGCGGAGGGCAGGTGTATATTCTATATTATACGTATTTTGTGCGGAGGGCATGTGTATATTCTATATTATACGTATTGTGTATATTCTATATTATACGTATTGTGTGCGGAGGGCAGGTGTATATTCTATATTATACGTATTGTGTGCGGAGGGCAGGTGTATATTCTATATTATACGTATAGTGTGCGGAGGGCAGGTGTATATTCTATATTATACGTATAGTGTGCGGAGGGCAGGTGTATATTCTGTCCCACTATGTACCATGTCTACACCTTTTGTGCGGAACAAGGGGAATATAGATTCTATCTGCTTGTGTTTTACATTGTACACCCCGGGGAGGGATCATAAATGATTGTAGCGGAGAGCTGATTTCCCACAGCTAAACTCCACCAATATATTAAGAGGATGCAGGAACAAGTAATAAATCCAAGAGAATATCCAGCACAATCAGCAATACAATCCAATAATATCCCATCACCTTTCCCAATCACTGGACGACACACAGTATCAGGAGTAGAACTAACTTTTTTAATGGCAACATTCCTGCTTTTATGAGATTCTCCTATGCAAGGGAGGGATTCATCCCAATTAGTACAGTATCCAATCCCATATAGGTTACCTCCCACACATCTCCTCCCCTTAGATTAGCACTTAACAAAATTATACAGAGCATACTTTCCCCACTTTTCAGATGTACCCCAAATAGGTGGATATATACCCTTAAAAAAAACAGGGTACCCCCTGGTAGCCCTGATCTGAGTGAGAAACATATCCAGAAATCACCCAGATCAGACCAGGGGTTCGGGAGTTATGGGAAGGTAAAGTTTTGACCGACCGCATGGGTAAAGTAGCCGAAAATAGTTCCATGAAATTTTGCCCTGCGGTTGGTCTCCATTCGTGTCCCAAAAGCCCCGAACTGCTATACCATCCATAGTGCATTCGGTAACCGTATGAATCCCCTAGTTCGTGGGATTCATCCTACTAAACGCCGGGCCGTTCGTGGGTTTCCATCCGTGTATTCTGGAGCCCTGGAGGTCTTAGCGGTGTTCGGCTAGTCGAGTGTCCGTTTTGAGTTCCAGACACTTGACGACCAAACACCGCTATTCGCGGATTTAAAATGGCTGCCGCCACGCGTTCGGCTGCTGAAATGGCGATCACCCAGGGATTATAGCGGCGTGTTCGTGCGTACAAGGGAAAATAAGAAAAGCGATCAGGGAGGTAAATTCTATCCATTCTTCACATCAGGGTGGTCCGGTTCATTCGGTACTTTGTTCGTATGGTGAATTTAGTCGTTGACATGTAAGCTGGTATTCTCATACCGAACAAAGTATGGCCACATCTAGTTAAATGGAATTTTGTGTACCCCAGGCACAGGAAAATCTCTGCAGTGCCAACAATAAACGAAAGGAATGGGACAGCCAAAAAGGGGTTCTGCTACAATGATAAATTCTCTTTTATATCTCTTCATAAAGCATTTAATTGCACTTTGTTTAAAATACATAAACTATTTTTGAGGAACAAGGCTGGTATTATGTATTCATTCTCACTGGAAAGTATGTCATTACATACTGTCATCTGCCTGTCAGACAACATGTGTGTGCATGTGACGGGGTCATTAGTTTTTTTTTCCTATTATTTGTTATGTTTAGTGCACAGTGTGATGGGTTCAGAATCCCATTAAATTGACATACCGTATATTGTAAAATACCTCTCAACATTTGGAAGTTTACAATCTGAACAGGAGGGGGCAGGCAGTGGCAAAGTGTTTTTTAATGGTAACTTACACCACAAAAATGGCTGGGATTGACATTTGATTATACACATTGCACTGCAGACACACAGGACACACGTGCCCGTAGGAGAAGTGTGTGTGATAATTCCTTACACTACTGGGGTTGAGATTTTGTACCCTGATACCAGAGTAAAATCATAACCAGGACTGAGCGACATCGATTCGAAGTCATAACCATTTTACTGTATTGACGTCCCTCACTTTGCTAACAGACCTCGATTTAATAGTGTTGGATAAACTTTTTAAATGATTTAATGTTAAAAATATTTTAAACTTCTGGGGGGTGGAGCCTAACTCTTGAGCCAAGCAGACGTATTTCACATGGGCTCCTGCCGTAGCTACTGAAACCCTGATGATATCACGAGTTACCGAAGCGGGAGTGGCACACCGAGCTGATACTTACCTAGGGAGCAATCCACTAAATCGTTTGAGACCTCTCTCGGATCCCCCGGCAACCAGAACCCGCAACGGCAGTTTGAGGCCTACTAACGCTGGAGCAGGGGAAGTGCGGCCGACTTCCTCACTCTAACTGACCCGTACGACAACTCTCCTGCTCTCTCCCCTCCCCCCTCTGGAATGGTGGGGGTTATCCTGGTCCCCCCTGGCTGCCTCACTCACCCTAGACACTCACAGACAGCAAGCCCGGTGGGGGCTAGGACAGCCACTCGTCCCCTCAAGATGATGGATGGACTACTAACACCAAAACTCAATGAGCCATTTACAGACCGGGCCCCACACACTAACCTGGAACAACGGCTCGACAAACTCTTCACCCGCTTCTGGGCGCAACTGGAGGCGAGAGCCGAGTCCACACAAGCACAGGGCAGGAGGAGACCACGAGGGGGAGAGGAGTCAGTGATGCAGGTGCATCCTCCGGGCGCGCGTACCCACCAAGCCTTAACCACAAGCAGACTGGGCCCACCTGGGCCGAGGGTCAACAAGGGGAAACACCCTCCGCATCGGCCACCACGGCAGAAAAACCCCCACCGCAAGCGGCGGAAGCTCATCCGAGGCCTCTGTCGCATCCTACTCGGGAAAGACTTGGACTCTGACGCGAGCCCCCAAGTCTGTGGTCACTCAATGCGGGCCCTCCGCAAGGCCTGGGGCAAGAGGGTTGCAACGCGGCGCTCTGACCTGCTACCCCCTTTGGACTTTACATGCCAGTTCCCGAGTGTCGGCGTGGGGTGAATGACCCGATCCGGGCCTGATGAACTGTTACAAACCTCCACTATTGACCGCCGACAAGACCCTTCACACACGCTGAACAGCTTCCACAACCCTCTAACACCGCCGCTGATCCCTGAAAGGTGGAAGCAAGGTAGCAGGACTGCACAGTTTGAGCACAACTGCCACACAACTTAGATCCCCCGTCTCCCGGGCACACATGGGGCGGCTGCCTCAGAGCCTCAGTTAATGTTTATCAGCCAGAGGGTAACAGTGGCACTTACTGCTGCTGTTAATACATGCCAGACTCACTGCTTATTTAGCCTGTCTACCCATATCTGATCAACACTGTGACGGTAGTATAGGGTATCACCGTCAAGCATTCCCTTCTTCCCATAAAAGAAAAACACCCAATATTCCACAAGTAGAAATATCCCTGGAATCACCGAATAATCCACACATGAGCCAAAGCTTAATGCTGTAACAAGACAAATTTACTGGCACACAGAACTCACAATTTATGCAACACAAAACTCCTCCTCTGGGCCAGGCTAGATAATTGAGTTACACAAAGCTCAATTATCTGCTGGCCAGAAACATTAAAATTTTTAACAATTTCAGAAACATACTTTTTACAAGACATACAAATATACTTTTAACATCCCTGGATAGCTGAGGATACTGGTAGTTACATAGCCAAATCTCACGAATTTCCGTTCGGTAGTTTCCGTGTCGCATCGTGTGGAAGTTTGACCGGCTTGCCATGTGGAGGTATCCGAGTTAGAGTTCCATAGAATCAGTAGCAAGAGCCGGTCTCCGTTCGCATCTAACTACACGAAAACCACCGTTCATATGGTTCAGCTGGTTACATGTGAATGTTCCCCTCATTCGGTAGATGCTATCTACCGAACGCCAGTTTGATTCGTGGAGGGGAACGTATTCATCCAGGACTTCCATGGGGACCGGGCGTTCGCATGTTTGCCGTGACGAAATTAGTTCCAGGCAATTCATGCGTAAGCCCCGCTGACCGCATTCGTGACTTTTAAGATGGCCGCCATCCTTTGTTCTCGCCACGTGTTCGTATGTCGAATGGCGGCCACCTAGTAGCAATTAAGTCGCGGTTTTCTCTGCGTTCTAATGCTGATTGCTACCCAGGGTGTGTGGTCTCCGTTCAGTAAACGAATACATTTATTCTCAACATTTTGAACCGAACAAATACAGACATTAAAGCAGCAGGGAGAGGGTTAAGCTGAAAGCACACAGGCAAATACATAAAAGTCCTTCACAAACACTATGTAGCGTGCAGTAAAAAGCCTGAATAGATTGACGTTAAAATTAAGTGTTCATACATGCCCGGACATAAACGTCTGGTTTCCTGTAAAAAAAAAGTATATCTGCACTAACCAATTGCTGTTACTAGCGCTTTTGAAACTGCATTACACGTACTTTTATTACTACTAGTCCAGTTTACGTACAGACAGACCTTGTTTGCATGATGTACCTAAGTTTAAAGTTGATGCTCTGAAGTTACAATAATTACGCCTGTCTATAATATATATATATATCAGTTAAGCAATTCCTATGTGTGTTACCCATTTTAGCAAGAAACGCCTACACTATGATATTGATAATGTTGTGAGTTTTCTTTCTAACTGCTTTAACATAGTTAATATCACTCTGGTGACCTACACATTCCCAGTGCGTTAGAGCACCCAGCTAACCTAACTACAGCTACCACTAGCACTGTGTCACAGCCTGATTTGTCTAATATGTTACTCCTGCTATAATTTAAAAATGTGCAATGTTCCTGATGCTACACTGCTGTTACTGCATGTTTCCTTTATGTTTGCGCCAGCTGTCGTGGCAGTGCAAAACTGCTTGTTAACTCGATGCACAAATAAAAGAAAGAATTAAAAAAAAAAAAAAATTTTTTTAACTTCTAATATTTTGGTATTTTTCATGTATTAGTACTCTTTATGTATGATATATTTTAGATTTTTTTTTTTTTTTTTTTTTAAGATGTTGAAATAAAACATTTTTAAAAGTGTATCTAGAAATATCAAATAATTTGTAAAGGTTATCCAGCCATGCTTGAGGTCTTACTCCCTAGAGCAGAGAATTGCAACATTGTACCCTCCAAATAATGTGGCATTCATCTCACATAATGCTGGCAAAGCATCAGTGGAGCTGTAGTCCACAACTCATGGAGTGCCCATGGCGCCCTACCCCTACATCTAGAGGGAATTGTGTTATTATAGTCCAGAGGCGGTGAGTAGTCTGAGAGCAGCATTGGTTTTATCCAATGTTACTTTGTAATATACATTTCTCTATACAAGACGCTTTTCAGACATTTCTGTTACTCCTGTGGAACAAAGAATAAAAACCCAATCAGAGGTGATTTACAGTTTTGACACAAAATCTGAAAGATAAACCAAAACATTGTTTAATCCAAATGGCAGATTTATACTTGGATCTACAAGCAATTACCGGATATATGACCTATTATATCCCTGAATGTTCTGCTAAAACAACCCTTTTAGGCAGAGTATTCTACATCAAAAGTGATGTGTGTTAAAAAACCTGTATTGATTAAAATATGAAATATTCTTAAATTTGTAGGTGCTACCACACTGAATGTGCAAACCTCCAAAAAATTGAGATAATTCGACCTCTTTACTGTTCCCACTGTAAGGGACACTTTTTCATCTGCTGTAGACAGAATCAGCTTTCAAGTCCGAGTGGGTGAGCTCGGACCTTTGTACGGTCCGGTTAATGAACAGGCTACCAGAGAGCTGATTATACTAGCCCTGTGTATATTTGTACAATGTTTTCAAATCTCTTCTGAGATGCCTTTTTCCAAAGTAAGCCTGTTAAAATTTTGATTCCTGTAACATACTGTTTACTTGTGTAATTGCTGAGGGATTGCCCAGTAATTAGTGTAGGCATTATTCAGGGATTCATAACTAATAATTCATTAGAAGCATAATTATTCTTCACCACTGATTGGCAGCCAGCTGAATGTCTTGGTTTAAAGAGAATTATTGTATTTAATGTCTGAGGCATGTCTCTATTTTAATTACCCCAGGCTAAAGGAAATGGTCAGTTAATTGATCTAACACTCTCTTTCAATCATGTGTAACTAGTGTGCATGATATGGTGTAGTTGGCAGAAAAGGTTTGTTGACATTTCTTCTTATTAATAAAACAAAAACTCTTCTATATATCTGTGATCTCACTCTGGACTTAACTGAGCGTATTACATTTAACTATGGGGGACACTAGTTTAATAGTCTGTGAATTCACAGTTTGATGGATTGCTCTGCAGCATTAACCATGATTGCTGTTATCTGCAATGATATTTTGTATTCACACGCCTCCAACAGCTTTCAGAACGAGTGTAGCGGATCCCTACCTTAGGCAGCGTCCGGTCACTCAACTTTGACTTGTAGGAATTTAAAGATTGAATGAAACATTTTGGGGGCAAATTAGCCAAGCTGGAGAGATTGCTGTGTTTTGGGGGTTTTTTTTGGTTGTTTTTTTTTTTCTGATTATTTTAGAATTCTTCCAGGTCTTCACAGATCTAAAGTTTCCAGTGCACTTGCCATTTCTCCACATTTGCATACACCTGTAAAGTTTTGTTACCTGAATCCTACTTTGTCTGTGTGTGTCATACTATGCTGAGTTTGTGTATGTTGTATCTGCAGGGCGCCGTTGAACCCATGCAGATCGATGCTGACCCTCAGGATGAACAGCAGAATGTTCCAGACATCAACTATGTAGTGGAAAATCCAACACTGGTATGTATCCATTACCACATGGTGCGTAAGCCAACTCTTTATGTGTCTAGTATCTACCTGTACCTACCTGTCTCAGAGCTCTATATACAAGTGTGCTGAAGAATCTGACTCTAGTATTGAGCAGGAGTGCAAAACCCCAGGTTCAAGTGCTTGTAACATCCAATGGAGATATAGTAATTTTCACTGTTTAAATTGTCACATGTTGAAGGCAATATTCTTTTTATTAAACTTCTCTAAGCTGCGGCATGGCTGCATCATCAGCTGTGCTAGACCCTTCAAACTACACTTGTCACTTTAAAATCTATTCTCTTTGAGACATGTCCAGTTAATCTGGCATTCCAGTGTAGGTGTTTAGACAAATATTTATTTAGAATGTGTTGTCCATCTCTCTGGAACGTGAATGGATGGTGTTCAGGCTTTTTTCACCTTCCTCTGTAACTCTCAATTATTTGTGATTCCCCGTAGGATCTGGAGCAGTACGCTTCCTGTTACAGTGGCCTCATGCGTATAGAGAGATTACAGTTCATCGCAGATCACTGCCCGCAGCTGCGAGTCGAGGCTCTGAAAATGGCTTTGTCCTTTGTTCAGAGAACATTTAATGTGGACGTGTACGAGGAGATTCATCGGAAATTGTCTGAGGCTTCCAGGTGACTGTTAGGAGAAGCAAACATATAAATTAAACACAAACTGGTCAGGAACCCGCAAGAGTTCATCGCATATGCATTTGCTATCATAAAATTCTCTATTCCACATCTTCCTGCCCTACTAGTGCAGCGCTCAAAATGTCCAGTCAACACTAGCCATTGGCGATCCACGTTAGCGTAGGACTTGATATTTTAAGCCCAGTTCTCGTGCATCTCTTGTGTCCCCATCTCATTAAAACAGACAATTTCAGTGTTAATAACTGAAGTGAAAAATGTCAGAAATTCCGAGTGAGTTTCAAATTTAAGGTCAAATTAGGAGAACTGGTTGCATAGGTGGCATGGAGATTTTTTTTTCCAAGTTCACGCACTAAAACCATTGGTATTCCTGCAAAAACACACATTTTCTATCTGGACATAAGACCAAAGATAGATCTAGTAGTGCTGAGAGACAAAATGTATCCTTTGAATAATTTAAAGGGACACTATAGTCACCTGAACAACTTCAGCTTAAAGGGACACTCCAGGCACCCAGACCTCTTCTGCCCATTTGAGTGGTCTGGGTTCCAACTCCCACTTCTCTTAACCCTGCAAATGTAATTATTGCAGTTTTTTAGAAACTGCAATAATTACCTTGCAGGGTTAACTCCACCTCTAGTGGCTGTCTACTAGACAGAAAACCTGTGCTAGAGCGCCGCTGGACGTCCTCACGCTGTGTGAGGACCTCCAGCGTCGCTCAATTCCCCATAGGAAAGCATTGAAAATCATTTTCAATGCTTTCCTATGGTGAGCTTGTAGCGGAGAGCTGATTTCCCACAGCCTATTTCCACTAGTAATCCCAGAAAGGCTCAGGAACAAGTAGTAAATCCAATAGAGTAGCAGGCACAATCAGCAAAACAATCCAGTAATATCCCATCACCTTTCCCAATAACTGGACGACACACAGTATCAGGAGAAGAACTGAGGCTTTATTTCACATACCCTGCTTTTATGCGGTTCTCCCCTACAAGGGAGACACCCACAATAATTACTACAGTAACCAATCAAATAGACGTTACCTCCCACACATCTCCTCCCCTCAGCTTAACAGATAAAACAATTAAAATGTACTCATTTTTCCCCAATTCTTGGATGTACCTCAAATATATTAGGTACACCCCTAAGTGGTATTCCATGTTAGCCCTGATCTGGGTGAGCAACATATTCAAAAATCACCCAGATCGGACCAGGGGTTCGGGAGTTATGTGGAAGTAAAGATTTGACCGACCGCACAGGCAAAGTAGCCGAAAACAATTCCATAGGTTTAGGCCTTGCGGTCGGTCTCTGTTTGTGCATTGAAAGTCCCGAAAATGTCATCCAGGGTTGAGCTGGCATTCGGATGAATCCCCTGGTTCGTGGGATTCATCCTACCGAATGGCGGACCGTTCGGGAGTTTCAATCGGTAGTTTCTGGAGCCCTGGAGGTCTTAGCAGTGTTCGGGTAGTCGAGTGTCCGATTTGAGTTCCAGACACTCGACGACCAAACACCGCTGTTCGTGTGTTAAGATGGCCGCTGCCATGTGTTCGCCTGCCGAAATGGCGGCCACCCATGGATTACAGCAAAGCGTTGGTGCTTTTTAACTAGGGGAATGTAATGGACGAACAGGGAGGTTAAGTACAGCCACACTTCACATCAGGGTGGTCCGGTTGTTCGGTACTTTGGTTCAGATGGTGAATGCAGCTGTTCAATGCAGATTTGTATGGATTTTTACCGAACAACCGGACGAATGCTATTAAGGTATCATACATTCACAGGAAAGTCTCTATAATAAGTTCATACGGAAACCTTTTATGTTCAAATAAGAAATACAAAGGAAATGTGTTGGACAGCCAGAGGGGTTCTGCTACAGAGCTGTAATGTGCATGCGCGCGCATGCGCATTAGGTCTCCCCGGCCGGTGGGCGGGATCAGTCTCGTCCACCGGCCGACGTAATGCAGAGGGGGAGTGGCGGCGGAGGGAGAAGCAGCGACGTGGGACATGTCGCTGCCTCTGGAAAGTCACTGAAGGGGTTTTCACCCCTTCAGCAACCGGGGATTGGGGGGTGAGAGGGAGAGGGGAACTGCAGTGCCAGGAAAACAGACTGTTTTCCTGGCACTGGAGTTTCCCTTTAATGAGGTTCTGAGAAAATACAGTGTTTACATTGAAAGCTAGGAACACCTCCAGTTGCAGTCACTCACAGTGAACAAGAGGGACTTAGGAGTTTATAGAGGCATAACATGCCTCCATCCACTCAGATCTTCCGTCAGCAGAGCACAGGGCAACACTGTGCACAGCATCCTGTGATTCAGTATCTCCTCCCTCTGCATGCAGACACTGAACTTTCCTCATAGAGATTCATTGATTCAATTCATCTCTATGAGGAGATGCTGATTGGCCAGGGCTGTGTTTGAATCATGCTGGCTCTGCCCCTGATCTGCCTCCTTGTCAGTCTCAGCCAACCCTATGGGGAAGCACTGTGATTGGATCAGGCTACCACATGTCAGCAGACTGCTTGTTTTTCTGAGTTTGACAGCATGCAGATTTACAGCTTCAGGCTTGAATACAGTAAGATTTTTAATATATTTATGGAGGCATGAGGGCCCAGGGGGCTAGATTGTGGTGTTAACACTATAGGGTCAGGAATTCATGTTTGTGTTCCTGACCCTATAGTGATCCTTTAAACATAATTCTATTTTCTTAGTGAAATATATCAAAGGGAAAGAGAAGAAGAGCCAAGAAAGGCCCGCATTGGGGGGAGAGGGAAGGTGAGGACAGTAAGCATGTTCCTGCCAACACACATATATAGGAAACCAGAATTCTAGGAGAAATGGCGCGCAGAGACAGCTGGCTTGTTTCATACATATGTGGGCACTAAAGACGATGTACATATTTCCACATGATATATCCTTTACTTGTGTTCATGATTCCCATGGGTTCACCTGTGCAGAAAGCATCCTACAGGTCCGTCCAAATTTATCAAGACACAATGATAAAGAAAGCATTAAATGAATACATTCTACCCCTTCTTCCTCATTGCATGCAGGGAATTACAAAATGCCCCAGATGCAGTGCCCGAGGGCTCAATGGAACCTCCACCCCTGGACACTACGTGGGTGGAAGCAACACGCAAAAAGGCTCTTCTAAAGCTCGAGAAACTAGACACCGATCTGAAGAATTACAAAGGGAATTCTATCAAGGAAAGCATCCGGTGAGATCCAGTAAAACTCACAGGAAATCGGCTAGCACGATGGCTAACAAGAATATTCGAACAGCTTCTATAAAATATTATTTACTTGTTTGTTTTTGTCGTGTTTGTGCAGGAGGGGTCATGATGATTTAGGAGATCATTACTTAGACTGTGGGGATCTGAGCAATGCTTTAAAATGCTACTCGCGAGCCCGGGACTACTGTACCAGTGCCAAGCATGTCATCAACATGTGCCTAAATGTCATCAAGGTGAACTTTGAAATCCTCGCTTTCTGTCTCTGCTCCACATCGAAACACTCCACCTTTCTCTCCGTTTAGTAGTTGCTTTTTTTCCCTCTTTGTCCTATGCTCTACTTTCACCGTTTTCTCATGCTTCCTCTTGTTACAGGTCAGCGTTTACCTCCAGAACTGGTCCCATGTCCTCAGTTATGTTAGTAAAGCTGAATCAACTCCTGAAATTGCAGAGGTGAGGACTAGAAATTTGTAATTCGAACACCACATAACCCAGTCTGACTCAGTTGTGGGAGTGGAAGCACCCTCTAGTGGCCGTCAGGAAGACAGCTGCTAGAGGTATGTTTAGCCCTGCAATAAAATCTGCAATGTTTTACATTAGTGGACTCACATGACAGCACAACTTTATCCAGACCACTACATAGAGATAAAATGGTCTGGGTGCCTGTATAGGTTAAACACGGATTGGAATTACTTGCAATGCCGGTTGCTTTTTCCAAGGGCTTCCTCGACAACCATGTAGAGTCTATTATGTATATCGGTTTGTTGATATAACACAGCTAGCTAATCCTGAGATAACACGCCGTTGGAGGCTTAAGAAGTATTGCTCTGTTCCATTCCCTGCAGTAGTCTTGAGTGAAAATAAACGTTAAAACTGTATTGGCCCATACTGTTAATTTATCCACTATTCCCTTTGTTATATTTTATGATCTACACGGGGCTCCTGTGACGGAGTCGTGCTTGACCTCACTCAGAGAGCAATGTTTTCTAGAGTCCTATAATGATTTGGTGGAAGGAGAAACACTAGGTTAATACAAGGATCCCTAGTGTTTAAAGAAAAAAAATATAAGCGGAAAAACTTCATATTCGCTTTATCAAAGTTTCCAACTTCCACAAAATAATGTTGGTTAGTTTTGGAGCACTCAAACAGTGGTACAATATTAAACGGTTCTAGATAACTAATTAGAGTGGGTATGAATTATATTCATAGACATTTATATACTGCTGGCACACTCGTGTATTGTACCCCAACACACAATATAGAATTAAAAATGTAAATCAGAGTGGAGCAGTGAAATACTCCAAAGTAACAAAAACAATGTTTAGGTGAAAAACCAAAGCAAGTTGAAGTAGCTAAGGATATAAAAGTGCTGTGATTATACGTAATAATTAACAGATGGTGCCAGAAACATGATGGTATAGGAAATTTTACAGTAGAGTGACAATGACATGGGCAAATAGATGTCTGAATATAACTACTAGTAACCTAGTTCATAGACAGTAGTGTATAGTGCTTGTACCATATAAATAGACACAAATGTAGAGAAACCTAGAGATTTGGTTAACTGTGTTTCTCTGCACAACGGACTGTAAAAAGGACTGACAAATAACACATGTAAATATCAGCCCTTAACTGTAATAATCCCTTGATGTATGAACGAGAGGATTTCTCAAATATGAAACCAAGTCGTCCATAAGCAGTATCTGTATATAGCATACTGTGTGGATATCCTCCACAAACCTCACTCTTCCAGTAAGATTAATACAGTATCTTCTATATGGGTTTTAATCCAATGTAAATAATCTAACAGACCCAATAAAGTTCAAAGAGTATCTCGGATTAAAACTCCTTCCTGAACTTGTATTCCACATGCATCCATTCACCTGTGATTCTCCAGCTGCAATCATTACGTACTGAAAGTCTTTCTGATATCCAATCCTGCTGCTTCAAATATCTGCAGGTCCAATATATTCTGAACACTTTACTTACGGTGTATTTTCTAATCCAAACTGCATCTTCTTTGTAATCAAGCAGAACTGACAGAATTGCTGGCTAAGACTTAATGCTGTTTCTTTGTTTTATTTTTCTGTAACAATTTCAAATTGTAAATATATTGTTTCATGATTTTTTTTTGGTTCTTTTTTTCCAGCAAAGGGGAGAACGAGACAGCCAAACCCAAGCTGTACTGACAAAACTAAAATGTGCTGCTGGTTAGTTTCTCATGTTATATCTATGTTGCCAGGGATTTAGAATGAAGTCAGGTTGAGAGCTTGCTTGCGGTACTCAAGAAGGGACAGCACAAAGAATAATAGGTGTGGGCGAGGGGGAAGAGGATAGTGCTTGTAAGGAGCGTAATTGATGTAGTCAGATAAACTGTCTATATTTGAATAATTCAACAAAAATACTTCCCCTATTTTTCCAAGCATTACATAGATAATGAAAAAAATGACACCACATGCACACTGCAGACAACATTGACATGACAAAGGAGTGTGTCTGAGCAGGAACCATAAAGTTTTAAATAAAAAAACCTTAAAGTTTAAAAAAGTAAAACTAGAAATGAGAACATATCTGAGATGCTGGTCAATAAATATTATCTGCTTAAGATGGAACAATAAGTAGCGAGATTGTCTTACTGTAAGGGAGAATGTCGGGTATCGATAGTGTGGCGGATACTCTGATGGGAAGAGGGGTGTTCTTTTCCCCCAATCTGAGTAGAGCTGCAATAATCCTGGAGGCCATGATCCTAAAACGTAGTGAAATAGCTGTTATCGCTGTTCCCTACAGACACGAGACGAGGCTCTGTGTTGAGGGTAAAACTGGAACTGCTTTAATGGGAACAGCTGGCCTTTTATGCAAGTCCCCATGCAAGGGGTTTCTGGTGACACATTCCAGGGGCATTCCCCACTGGACCTGAGAGGGGACAGCAACATAGGCGCACACATATAATTACATTGCCTCTCAGGTCCAGGACAAGCCTAAAAAAAATACCTCAAAATATATATTTAACAGTGAGATATCCCTTCAAGTTCTATATCCCATAATAGCCTGGGTCTGAGCGCCCAACATATCCTGAAAGCGCTCAGATCCCACGAACGCAACCGAAACGCCACCGGGGTATAGTTTAGACCGACTACACACGAGGTGCCTGCCTAAAATTGTTCCATGAAATCAGGCTGTGCAGTCGGTCTCTTTCGGGAATATCAAATACACAGTCTTTATGTACGAATAACAGTTCGTGCATATGCTCCCAAAGTATCTGTGGTTCGAGGGATGTTTCTACTGAATGCCGCTTTGTTTGTATAAATAGTGCCGACCATATTTGGGTATGGAAGTCTTAGGGGTGTTTGCGCCGTTAAGTGTCCGAATTTTAGTTCCATACACTCGACGACCAAACACAGCTGTCTGTGTTCGTGTCCTAAGATGGCCGCCGCCACGTTTTCGCACATCCGAACGACGACCACCCAGCCAGTTACGGACGTGTTGGCAGAGGTTAATGGGGTCAACAAGCGGCGCACTCCGCATATGGGTGGTCTGTCGTTTGGTAGATTATTCAGCATTCCAATGGGGCAAAGTTAACAAATGTGATGGATGTATTTTACCGAACAAACAGGCGAAGGGAGCCAAGAGCTGTAAAATCCAGGGACAGGGAGGTCTGTCACAGGTAGTACATACAATGAAGCAGTGTACGGCCATCCGATCTTACTATAGGAGCTTTCCTGTATTCATAGAGAATAATAAATGTTGAATGTCCACTTTGGATGTACATAAAGCTTGATGCTAGTGTATTTATGGTGATAGAGGATTGTTGTTAAGGACGTCATGTATAATTAATTCATACAAGTGAATGTGGTAAGTGATGCATCTCTTGATATTTTGGTTTGGTTTTAGGTTTAGCAGAATTAGCTGCTCGGAAATATAAACAAGCAGCAAAATGCTTCCTACTAGCGTCTTTCGATCACTGTGACTTTCCCGAGGTAAGTGGCTACCTCATCCCTTTAACTCTGAATTCATTGTCTCTGTGCTGTATACCTGGGCCGTGGTCCTGACGCTTTGTCGTTGACGTTCTCCTTAGCTTCTTTCATCCAGTAATGTTGCTGTGTACGGGGGACTTTGTGCTTTAGCCACTTTTGATCGTCAAGAGCTTCAGCGAAATGTCATCTCTAGCAGGTATGAAAAAACAAGGAAGGTGTTTGCCAACAATGTAATCCTGTTTGGTATTGTGATCTATTGCACTAATTCTTTATTATTGATTTTTTTTTTATTTATTTTTTTGCCTCTTAAAGCTCTTTCAAGCTGTTTCTGGAGCTGGAACCTCAGGTCCGAGACATTATCTTTAAATTCTATGAGTCTAAGTATGCTTCGTGTTTGAAGATGCTGGATGAAATGAAGGTAATTTGTTTTACTGTCCTCACATTTTGCAATTACTGAACTGCACGTTCTCTTTTCTTCTTTTTTTTTTTTTCTAATTCTGTCCAATGTGTCTTGGTACTATCTCCTCAATGCTTAAAAACCTTTCAAAGTATCTAATAAGGTGTGTGTATATGTGTGTGTGTGTGTGTGTGTGTGTGTGTATATATATATATATGTATATATATTGTGTTTTTTCAGCTGTCTTGCAAGTCAAACTCTTTCATCACATAGTCTATTTCATACTTGAGCACAGTCCCCATCTTCCAAAGTCTCAATCTTTTGCCATTTCCATGTCTTTCCCCCCGAGCCGCCTTTTTTTAAATTTAATTTCCTTGTAATCTTTCAGTGCATTTCACCCATGTGCAAACCCGCCATCCACTCCTCTTTCCCAAGGCCAAACCCCATTTATTTGTGCCACTTTCTGTGTTCATTACCTTCAATCTGAGTCGTGATGCCGTTATCAAAGCCTTTTCCTTAGTGCGTTCCTCTCTCCCTCTGCCAAGTCCTAACTTGTTCCTGTCTGTGTACTGTTAATCACATTGACTCTTGACTGTGTTGTTTATTTATGTTTTAAAGCTTTAGATCTAATTTGACCTGTTTGTCCCTGCAGGATAACCTCCTTCTTGATATGTACCTAGCACCTCACGTCCGGATATTATACACTCAGATCCGGAACAGAGCCTTAATTCAGGTATCTGTAACACATTCTGTTGGCGCCTCTATTTCCTGCTGCCTGCTGTGTCCTTTTCCCTTCTTCTGTTTCTTGTCATTTCTTGTGCTGCCTGTGCAGTTGGCATCCGCGCGTCGCCTGCTGCTTTTCTGCAATATTTGGATTTCTGCCTTCATGCTGGTGCGTGTCCTTTCTGCTTATCTGTATCTTCTGTTCTGTCCTCGCCAAATTTTTATTTTTTTGAAAATAATTTTTTTGAGTTGCAGGACCCATTAAAAGGACATTAATACAAAACGACATAATCAGAGTGGATTTTTTTCCCCACAGTTTGTTTAGAGCTTCACGTGCAGATGAATGCTAGTTTTAGAGCCTCTGAGTTTCTTTGATTGTCCTATTCTTTGAGAATGCATGACTTGCATCCTATTCGTCCCATTAAGTTGTTGTGACCAGTAGGATTACCAATAAATATGTGTGTGTGCGTAAATAAATCTTTTTGTATGTACTGACGACAGACAAAAACTTTTGCGCAGAAGTGACATTAGTTCTGGGCTGCCTAAGATAAATGTGCCGGTGGTATAAATATCTCTGGGTGTGCTGCGTTTGAATCCGAAATACTGCACATAGAGATACCTACCACCGTGACCACTTCTAATAGCAGAAATGGACATGGGGGTTGGAGCAACCTGTTGAGTGTAAGGTGCGATTCACTGCTGTATTCTGTATTCCATGTCATGAAAATTCGATGTGCCTAGTTTACACACATTTTGGTATTGACTGCATAGTGCTCTATTTTACATTTGTTAAATTTTACAAAGGAGAATTATTTATTTGCAAATGCCGGTGTCATAAATATAAGACTGAGCCTTGGTATTAAAGAATGTTTCAATATGTACATCTGCTTCTACAGCGTATAGATACATGTTTCTTTCTCAGGCGCTACACTCACTTTGTAAGGGGAGATATTTCCTTTACATCTTGCCACTGTTTGTACATATTGTTTTGTCGTTAGCAGTCACTGTGTTGGTTCATGGTAAAACTCTTTGTATACTAAGCATCCAGTGGGACTTTAAAGGTGGTACACACTGTACGCACGGCATAGATTTTCCACTCCGTGTCCTCAACCCCCTTTGGCTCCATACAGTTTTTCTGATCTCGCTCATCGCCAAGAATCTACTTTTCCCCTCAAGTATATCTTCTGGCGGGGGCAGCTAAAATGGACGCTCCAGTAATTAATACAACTTTATTGCATAGGTTGTAGTCTCATTACTCAGTCTCTTTAACGTTGTATTTTTGCATTCTCACATCCTTATAGTACAAAATGGCAATAAGCCTGCCTCCTTGGCCACACCCCCTCATGCCAGAAAGACTTCCTTATCAAATGTATGTACACAGCTCAGCCCCAATAGCACTGAGTGATCTGAACTACAAAGCAACCTGCATTAGAAAGGAGATGGCACCCTTAAAGAGAGATAGTAAGGATATCACTACGTGGTTGGTAGGCCAAAGCATATCAAGTGCATTAAAATTGTATTGGTGCTCGAAGTGTCCCTTTTAATTTGACCCAATTCAATAAAATAAGTAAGTCTGCAACCCTAAGGAAGAAAATCTGGTTGTTAATGCACCATCGCAAGTGGACCTACCAATATTTTGATCTTTGAGGCTTGACAGATACCACTGAAGTCCAGATGTTTCCTTGACTTTGTGGGCTGGGGGAAGGTATAAGTCACAGATTTACTTTTTTAGCGTTGTGGAACTATGCAGTATGGTACTTGCTTCCAGTATAACCTCCATGCCCTTTACATCAATAGCATTCTTCACACTCTACTTTCCCAACTTTCCATTTATCTTTTCCTCTGCTTTATTTGTGTTCAACCATATCTTGTCCTCAGTATTTCAGCCCGTACGTCTCTGCAGACATGTACAAAATGGCAACCGCATTCAACACTACCGTGTCTGCACTGGAAGATGAATTGACTCAGCTCATCCTAGAAGGGTTAATAAACGCACGTATCGACTCACACAGCAAGGTAAGCTGTCCAGTAGCTTGGTTAGAGATAGCGATCCTCGAAACAGGCTTTTTCAATTTTTTTTTTTTCCTCTAATAGATCCTGTACGCGAGAGATGTCGACCAGCGTAGCACAACGTTTGAGAAATCCTTGCAAATGGGACGAGAATTCCAAAGAAGAGCCAAAGCTATGATTTTGCGTGCCGCTGTCCTGCGTAACCAGATCCACGTGAAGGTGTGTGTACTGTTGGACACAATCTAATGATCAGAGAAGAGAATCTGTTTATCCTCCGATATTGTATTTATGTTCTCCGTCACTATTTTGATGCTACCTATTTTCTTTATTTTCTGATTTTTAACTGATCTTTAAGACCAGGTGCAGATTGAAAATTCGAATTTTGCTGTCTCCCCCCTAGATTTCTTACAAGAGCTTGTAATATACAGGTACCAGATATTGTGAGCGACCTTTTGCCTTTGGATCTTTATAACTTTTTTTTTTCAGGTGGTCTCTCTGCAATTTACCTTTTCAGTAGACTCGTCTGGTTGATGAACCATTAAAAACTGTAGCGAAGAAAAAAGGTTTTACCCCAGGAAAAGAAAAGAAAATCAAATTAGGGTAGCACTTTATTTTCTGGCAGATTTTGCTGGAAAAAGCATTTTCACAGAATATATTCTAGATTTGGAGGAAGTCCGAGACCTGAACTCAAGTCTACAGATGAAATACATACTGTCCATAGGTAGCAGATTGGCATGCCTGTCAGAGATATATATAAAATTCTTTACAGTTTTGTAACCAAACAGTTTAGCTATGAATATAACATTAAAAGTCACAATATTATGGTAGAGACGCTTCACACATAACGTTGTTATATTTGTCCGAGAGCCTGTACACTTGTCACATTCGCTGAACAATATCTCATGACCTGCAGAAACAGAACTCAAAATAACTGGTTATTAAATCAGTAGAACATTCTCCCAGATCAGAGTATAGTTTGTGAAAGCTTAACTGTGTGTTGGTACTGGGAGGCTACAAACTACAAACCCGTTTGTATCACCGCTTATAAGGACATCAGTAGCTAGAGCTAAGCTGATTAGGCCATGCAGATTAGTGTCCCACTAAGGCTCGGTCTAACCTTTGGGCAAACTGAGATTACGACCTCTCGAAGGGGAGGGGACTCCCCGGGGTATCTGGGAGAAGCCACCAGCAACCTCCAGATTCCATCCATTGCAGACATGTCCTGGGATGGTGTTATCTGGGTATCTGTAATGTTGTGATAAAGAATGGAGCGTTCGGTCGGAGAATGAGATGGGAGATGATGTTTGGGTTGAGGGAATAGAGGACTCATTATGAAACGTCCCTATTGAAAGAGATAACTACAAAGAAGATAGGGGGAGAAGAAGAGAGGGGGAATAAAAGGTAATATATCTCTGACAGCATTCATTTAGCACAGTTTCCTCAAGTCGAGAAGAACACTCGATCTCTGGGTAATGAGAATTCTCCAAGAAGGTTTTGATGTTAAGTTAGACAGTTTTCTTCCTCTATAAGTACTGTGTTCAGAAGTTCATTTTCCTGTGCAGAGAAAAACTCTGAGAAAAGCAGTTACAGATCTGCAGCTATAAATGAACAGAGAAGAGGTTCATCCAGAAGAAGAAAATTGTGGTTCATATTCAAAACTTGTTCTTCCGAAAACGCTAGATGGACTTTCATCTTATTTCTACATATGAAAAGAGTGAACAGGTTTGTCTCCATGGAGATGGAGATTATATGTCACTGCCAAACCTCAAAGGTGCATTGCATGTATGTGCCAATAGCCAGACACCGCAGTCAGTTTCTGAGGTTTACCATCAGAGATCCCAGCAAGTTCCTGCACGTTCATTTTAAAGCACTCCCATTCAGCCTGTCATCTTCTGCAATCATCTTTTCAAAGATTCTGTTCTAGCAACTCTACTGCAAGAGCACAGCTGGTTCATAGATTGGAAAACTTCTCCACTCATTCCTACCGTCAGTAGTCTTTTTGGATCTCAATGGAGACCAGAAGAAAAACAAAAAAATATAACTATATTGTTATGCTCCAATTTTGTTCAGAAGAGCCATGAGAGTTCTGGAATTACTGACATAATCTATTCCAGCATTGTCTTGAGACAATTGTCTTAATTTCAATTAAGATCTCTTCAGGTGAATATTCTCAAGGAATGGAACAGAGCAACATGGTCCCTGGATTCAAGTATGACCGCATGGGCAGCTGTAACTTTAGGGGTGGGTAAAGATGCCTTTCCTGACCTCTAGGGTTCTAGCAGCTACTTCCAGCTCAGTTTGCCACTTACACCTTCACTGTGTAACCAGAAAAAAAAAAAAAACCTTGTCAAACTTCAAAAACTAAAAACATTTTGAGAAGTTTGTTTATTCCATTCCTATCTACAGAGCCCCTTTTATTCAAGATTTCAGAGAATTCCACGATATATGAATTGACATGGAGGAATCCGGTCAGAGTGCCTTGCCAAGCAGTTCACATCAGAAGCAAAATCTTCTTCCGTGAGATCTCAACTTTTCAATGCTAGTCAAAAAACAAACCAATGCAAGATCATCCCTTACTGCCATATTGGTGGCCATCACGTCAGCGAAACAGTTCTGAGAATATCCATATATGGACTCCCATGCTGACAAAGTGGTACTGAAACCACTTCTTGATGTTAGACCAATAATGTTTAACCAGTCCAACCTATTTTCTGTCAAAATTTGAACAAATCACAAGGAAGAGCAGCTTCTAAAACAACTGAGTTCCATGACCAGGGTAAATTCTTTTTTCTGTAAAATACGGCCTAAAGAACTTCATCATCACAGCTTCTCAAACTTCTGCTTCAGCTAAACAGGCCTGTAGAGCATCATGCCTGGTCATGCATAAGGTTCTCAAACCAGTTATTCTTTATAAGGAAACTGGCCTCTCCGTTCACCTTCTTAGCTCTTGCTATCCGTCAATGTTCCATAGAACAGTATGAATTCTTTCCCATTTTGGAATAAATTATTTGTGCATGGTTTGTCTTGTCATTGCTGAGGGATTTCTTTGTTATTGCAACTTTATACCTTGAGAGGAAGGATAAAGGGGTGGATCAAGTTACATTTTAGTCTAAGTGCTGTCTTTCCATTCAGACGACCAAAAAATAAATGCTGCGTCTAATTAAATGGGAAAAAAAACAGAATTTACATTGAGTAAGTATTTAGTTTTTCACAGATGCTCTAAATAAAATGAAAGGGTCTTTAGGGGCTTGAATACATATGAAAAGCTGGGGGGAAAAAAAAGATTTGATTTTGTCATTTTAGAGGCGTTTGTGACTGTTCTCGAAATAAGAGAGCTGTTTTGTTTTTTGTTTACGGTTTCAGTAATATTTAAGCGCAGCTCCTGATTATCTTTACTTCTCGTTCACAGTCTCCTCCAAGGGAAGGAAGTCAAGGAGAGCTGACACCGGCTAACAGTCAAACCCGACTCAGCACCAACATGTGACCGCGTCACTAGCCAGCCCTCCGCCACCTTTACCAAACAGCGTGGCCAGACTATCCCCCAGAGACATGTGACATGCTCCACCTGCTTGCGTCACATTCCCATAGGCTTTCCTGTGTGTGTGAGCTTGTCAGGAGCTGCATGACTTCTGTCTCCTCGGTTTCATTTTATTGGACATGACCCACTGGTTGTCTGCAGTGGAATTAGACAAGTAGTGATCCAACGCTGATCTCTCCCGGTAGTGGCAGCACATTTCAGGACAGGGAAAGGATTGTGGGATTCTACACTGCAAAGAGGGCAGTCACATTTTCATTTATTTTCCCTCATTGTATTTCTGGGTTTAACCGCTCATGGGCCAGACACCATCTTGCTCTCTTCTGTCTACATCTATAAACTCGCTTCTACTTTCAGCCACTCTGCCTCTTATCCTTTCTCTCTTTATTATCCCCTGACATTGCTATCTTCCATTATGGTTTAAATCTCTACCTCGTTTTCTCCCCCTTTCCTCCTCCTTTTTCCATCTGTTGCTTCTTTCTCTTATCCCTGCCTCTATTCCTTTAGTCCAGGGCTAGGCAACCTTCGGCACTCCAGATGTTTTGGACAGCATGTCCCGTAATGCTCTTACTACCATTATGCTGACAGAGCAACATGGGACGTGTAGTTCACAACATGTGGAGTGCCGGAGGTTGCTTACCCCTGTGAGTCTAGTTCTTCCTTCATACTGTGTAACCCCCTATAAACTCCCTTACATGTTTTGTTTCTTTATGTTAGTTTTGTTCCCTCCAATAAACTTGTTCCTTTTTGCCTGCCACTCATCCTTGACCCTTTGCTTCCCTCCCTTTTCCCCAGCTCTCCCTCTCTGATATGCTTTTCCCCAGCCCTTGCTATATAATCCTCTATTCCTTGGCCCTTTCCTTTGTTTTTCTGGCCTTTCCTACTTTGCTTAGTAGTTACTCGGGCTCTGTGTCACTCTCACCCCTGCCGCACTGCCCTGAGCTGCGTTCTGCAATGCTGGATGCATTATACTGGCCTATATAGATATATTCACACCTTCAAGCAACTGGGACATGACTGCACTTAAAATCGATCCAAAAAGGTCATTTACTACCTTGAAACATTGATATTTAAATGTACCCTGTTTCTTCAGCATTTCTGTTTTCAATTAAAGTTGTTGCTGTTTGCGTGTTCTTTTCCCACAGTTGCATCTCACTTTTCTTCAGTAAGGCACCCTTCACAGATCCTGTGGAGCAGGGCTGAGCAATGGCTGGCTGGCCATCATGAGAGTGGCACTCTGAAACCAGCAAACAGCTGTCAAACCAAGCTTCATCCCACACTCTGCCAGGTGTTGCCTAATCCTACGGCTCATCAGAATCCGAACATAAAACAATTATGCACAGATTTCCCCCAGAATGTGGGATCAGCTTGCCCCTTTTGTTCTAAGTTTAATGATCAGTTTTAGTTTTGTATGCAGAGAACAATGTTTAAGCTAGAGGAAGGTAAAAATAACCATATTTTCTGTTTCCTTTAGAATTGAGAGTCTCTGGGGGTCCTCTCGGCTCTCTGGTTAAACTATTACCCCATGCTGGGCCCTCTGTACATTTTTAGATGCTATTCTGGTTGCCATGGATACGCTGGCAAGGTTTAATTCATCTTGTCTTCATCAGGCTTAAACATCTGTCTGCAGATTTTCTTCTCTCGCTACCTTGTACGCGGTGTCTAACTGCAGCATACAATCAATATTTCAACTCTGCTTTAGGAGCCCTGTCTACAGGTGTCCATTAAGAGTTTGTTGTTTTTTTTGATGCTCCTAATCTCAAATAGACTCTGCAATGTGCTTTATCTTAGAACATCAGTGGCTTTCCTTATGGGCTACATTTCCTTAAGGGTAAAAGAGTTCTATCGTAAACTTGGATTTAATATATAAGAATTTTACTCAAGGGTACCTGTTGGTGGCAGTCAATCTCAAAATAAAGACATCAATTTTTGGTTTTATGTATCACTTCGTGTATTGTATTATAGTGTGATATCAAGATTGTTTTAATAATTCCCTTCATAATTAAGGGAGACCCAACAATAGTTTAGTATTTTAATGCAGCCCTGCAGTGATGCAGTTTCCACGAGAATCCCTGGTCAAAGGACAAAACTAATCCCCCTCCTGTAGTGTCCTATATTATATTTTAGCCAGCAGTTCTTTTAGCACGATATGTGGCCACTTTCTTATATTCTGCACATGAATAATGTTTAGTTGTTTCAATGATGTTCTGTGAAAAGAAGGATTTCTGATCTCGCTATGAATCGCTGGTAATCTCAGTTTTTGAGAGTTAAGTAGAATGTACAAAGATCTGACTACAGCGATGGGGCTTTGCAAATATTAATTAGACCAGGACAGGAGCAGTACCTGGGTTGGTACTTTAAAAAAAATTGCCTTCTCTCTTAAACAAGTAAAACATTGAAACAGAATGGGGTAATCCCTATACTTTATCTGGTTGGTGGTAATAGGAGATGTGCTGGAGAAATGCTGATCTGGAAGACTGTTTGAAAGTTCAGAGGAAATCTGTTATAAATTTTCATTTTATGAGATGGAAAATTCCTATAATCCATATAACTGCAATAAATAAATCTACTGCAAGTTTTAATATGATGTTATTTCTGAATTGCCAGGCTATTAAAAAGTATATATGTGGCCGTTAATTGGAACACTTTTTACGGTGACATAGAAATGGGATTTAACCAGGTTTTGAGTGCATTGTAGACTTGTGTACAAAATCTGTCCTCCTTTGCTGGCTGGATCAAATGCCTGGTAATCGCTGGGCCTTGCGGATAGACATTTTAAACTTAATGCACTCTCTGTTTGTTGTTATTTTTTTTTTCCATAAAAGGTTTTCGTCTAAGGCTGCATCAATACTTTTTTTTTCTTTAAAGGACCACTCTAGGCACCCAGACCACTTCAGCTTAATGAAGTGGTCTGGGTGCCTGGTCCTTCTAGGGTTAACCTATTTTTTCATAAACATAGTTTCAGAGAAACTGCTATGTTTATGAATGGGTTAAGCCTTCCCCTATTTCCTCTAGCGGCTGTCTCATTGACAGCCGCTAGAGGCGCTTGTGTGCTTCTCACTGTGATTTTCACAGTGAGAGCACGCCAGCGTCCATAGGAAAGCATTATGAATGCTTTCCTATGTAAACGGCTGAATGCGCGCGCAGCTCTTGCTGCGCGTGCACATTCAGCCGACGGGGAGGAGAAGAGGAGGATCGGAGGAGGAGAGCTCCCCGCCCTGCGCTGGAAAAAGGTAAGTTTTTACCCCTTTCCGGAGCCGGGCAGGAGGGGGACCCTGAGGGTGGGGGCACCCTCAGGGCACTATAGTGCCAGGAAAACGAGTATGTTTTCCTGGCACTATAGTGGTCCTTTAAGTGTATATATACGGGTATGGTATTGGAAAAGGCCAGTTTTTGCTGTAAACCAGGTGGTTATCTTTTATATGAAACCTTTCACAACATTCCCTTTTTTGTTTTTCTATGAAGTATCTTGGCAGAAGAGTTTTGTGACCTTGAGAATGGATTTATGCATAGTGAAAGGCAAGACAAGTCGTCCACAAGAAGATTCTTTATGATCTTTATCTTTTTTTCACGTTTACGTTAGATGATGACCATCGCCAAATAATAGTGATAATAAACTGTGAATGACCATAAATATGTAAACTTTACCACAGCTAAAAAAAGGTTTAATTTTATAACCAACAGAGAATACATCACTGCTGACTTTACTACGACATGTATGTCGTGAAAGGATAGACCGGGTAAGGTAAATGACAGCTCAGTATCACCAATAAATTGAGTCCTTTCTCATGGTTTCCAAAGTTCTGTAGTTATGTAGTCTTGTGAATTAGCTAGAGTCAGTGACTCCAAACATCAAAAGTAACTGTTTTTTTTAGTAGAACACCTACAAATTCTCATAAAGGGTTACTTCATAACTACAGGCCACCATAGTGGTTATGATGCCAGGAGTTGCCTATTCTGGTTATGGGGCAAATAGATTAGTAATGGTGTACCGTGGTCCCCTCAGGCCTCCGAGGCTATATCTCCTCCGGGGTGATGTTTTTCTGTCAAAGCCGGAAAATGATCCAGTTGCCAATCATTGGTTGAGGGCATAGAAACAAATTTGCACAGAATTGACATTAGCCTGCCTGAAGCTATTGTTAGATCTTTTGTTCCAGGCAGGCTAATAACCCCCTATTAACCTGCCGGCAGAAGGTAGAACATCTCCGATAGCGAAGGATTTAAATGCTATGTACAGAATTTCACAGCAGACTCCAGTCACAACGACTACCTCAAATCAGTGAAGTGGTCATGGTGCGTGTATTAACCCTTTAAGAACTGGAATCCGACTACTACTCTGGATTTCTGAGCATTTAAACATTTGGCCCAACCATTTGTATCCTCACGGAGCATGGGTTCTCAAACTCTTCTTCAAGAATAGCCAACAGCCTGGGTTTTCGAGGATGAATTTAGAAACCAATGATTTTGAGAATTACTGTTCTGGATACATTGCAATGTGTTAATCGGAGACTAATTTGGGAGAGGGGGAGGTAAATCAATGAGGGAACCCAGCGTGCCCTTCTATCTCTGTATATTTTTATCTGTATGATAACCCATGCTGTGTTTCCGTACACCACAAGCTTCCTGCTTATTCCTCTTCATCAACCGTGTTTCTGTATTGGGAACCTATTGTTATTCTGATTTACCTTTTCCAGTCACGGAAATTGTAACTAAAAATAAACGCATGTATAATTATATTTTACAAAAAGGCAATGTCTACTGCCGCTTTTGTGTTTTTTGACACACACAGTTGTAGTCAGGCTTTGTTCTTGTGCAGTGTGTTAATGCTGTCAATTCTCTAAGGAAAACTGTCCCAGTTATTTACTCAAGTAAGAATTCAACGTGAGTTCAATGTTTAAATGTGAATTTCAAGTTTAAAGGGACATTCCGGGCACCGATACAACGTTACCGCGTTTGATAGATTTTAGCCTCATTAATATACTGTGGGGTTTTTTTGCCAGCTCAAATCTTTATAGATTTTGTATAAAATAAATATATTGCAGAATTCTGCACCATAAGCCCTGCCTCCTAAGCCACTCCCCCTCATGCCAGAAAGACTTCCGTATCAAATGTATGTACACAGATCAGCCACAACAGCACTGAGTGAGCTGCTTTGAATTCACAATCTGGCTGAGGACAGTCAGAGAACCTATACACAGGTAGTGATATCCTTACTATCTTTCTATTCCGGCCTAAAACTTAAAATTAACTCTGACTTTCTACCAACACTCCACATGTTTCAGAAAGTTTAATGGAAGGAAGCCTTACACCATTCAAATAACTACCTTGTGTAAAACAGCTTTATGTTTATTGCAATTCACTGATCTGGTGATGTACGGATTGTGCATAGTCACCCCCTCATTCTTCTTGAGGGCAGATTAGTAAACTGAGCTATTTAAAAGGAGAGGTGTGTTTTCTTTTTTTAAGAGGATATTATGCGCTATTTCCAGCAGTAATTGTGTCACATTTATTGTTTTTTGGGGTTTTTTGTCACAGAATACATTTGATTGCTATGATATGACTTGCATAACTATGGCAACCATTTCTCATTTTGTTTCCAAGGATTTTTATGATTAATATATACAGCAATCCCGCATTAATCACTTTATGTACATTTTATCTTTCCCCAATCAAAGAGGCGCTGGGGTGGCCCTTGCGTTTCTATACTAAGAGAATAGGAATTACCTTCTGGTGAATGGACAATGTACTGAATGGGAATTCTTGCACAGCCTGACTCGTTAGCTGTTTGATTTATTAGACACAGATAATTAGGTATGTCTAATCAGGGAGCCACAGAAGATATTTAAAATCGCAGTTTATTTAGTATCTCTCTCCAAGTGAAAATGGTGGGTCTCTGTTTTTATATGAAAGACTAAGCAAAGACGTGGGTTGTGGGGAAAATATAATAATAATATTAATAATAATAATAATATAACTGGTTTTCTAGTAAAGTTGTTAAATGGTTACACTGCAGGCATTACTGGTACCAGCTAGTATTCTGGCTGTCTAATCGTGCTGGAGAATGTTCTTTACAGACCAGAGTGGGGTAATAAACTCTGCAAACACTGGTCTGTGATGTGCATTTTCAAGAAACCGTTAAAGCGGAGTTTTGGGGATTTTTTTTCTTTTGTTTTTAAATCAGCATTTAAAAACAAATTTTTGTACTGTATCTTGCAATTCGGGGTACTTCACTAAAAGTGAATTGGTGGTAGTTCAAAGTGAATGTTACGTTTTAGGCAAAAATAGCTGAACGCAAAACCTAGATGGCGTGGATTTTGGTTTTTTTTATTTTTTATTTTTAAACGATTTTGACATAAAACTTCAAATTGACTTTGAATCCCCTTTTAAACTCCCTCTTTAGTGGACAGCTGCACCAGTTTTCAATTCAGTACATTTAGCTGTTTAGTGGATAAACCCAAAGTGAATTTTAGGTGATGCTGTTTGGCAGCAGCTGGTCCTGTTTCTATGTAAATGTCATCACATTTCATATATTGCTTGGAGAAATCCCTATGTTATATCTCCTTTCCTGTGGTGTGTTGTTTCCCATTTTGTATGATGTCTGTGGGATCCATTTTCCATGCTCTCTTTGTGGTCATTGCATGTGAAGATCTCCTCAGAGGATGAAACGGATATACTCCTATTATTTTCATATTCACCCATCAGACCAGTTTTTCTACAGTATTTTAGTATATTGCAAATGAATATTTTCCCTTTAATTCTCAATTACCTCTTCATTCCCTTTGTATTTTACCAATAGCTGCTTCTCCCTGTAAGCTCTTTTAGCCATCACCTCCACATTTCAACTGTTACCTCCTGTCTCCAATCCCCATTGTATCCTTTAGATTGTAAGCTCACTGGCCATCTAGCCAAGCACTTTGTATAAAGAGCTCCAATGGCTACATAGAATGTGACGGCAGATAAGAACCAATCAGCCCATCTAGTCTGCCCAATTTTCTAAATACTTTCATTAGTCCCTAGCCTTATCTTATAGTAAGGATAGCCTTATGCCTATCCCATGCATGCTTAAACTCCTTTACTGTGTTAACCTCTACCACTTCAGCTGGAAGGCTATTCCATACATCCACTACCCTCTTAGTAAAGTAATACTTCTGGATATTATTTTTAAACCTTTGTCCCTCTAATTTAAGACTATGTCCTCTTGTTGTGGTAGTTTTTCTTCTTTATATATAGTGTCCTCCTTTGCTGTGTTGATTCCCTTTATGTATTTAAATGTTTCTATCATATCCCCCCTGTCTCGTCTTTCCTCCAAGCTAGATATTCGCTTACAGGCAGGGCTCTCTCTACCTCTTGTATTTGTCTGTGTATATTGTACATTCTCCTCTAATTGTACAGCGCTGCAGAATCAGTTGGTGCTTTATAAATACCAGTAATAAATAAATTCTGTCTGCTTGTTCACTAAATAGTGACTTGTGATAAATGTTGTTCTAATTGGGTTACATTTGCCCATGTTTTGCAGTTAATTGTTTAGTAAATGAACTCCTATAAATTCTCTGGGATAAATTCCCAGAACCTGGCTGTTTCTTTTTGCAGTCTGGTTTTAAAGGGACACTTTAGGAACCCAGACCACTTCAGCTTATTGAAGTGGTCTGGAGGCAATGTCTGATCAACTGCAATAATTACCTCTAGTTGCTGTCAATCAGCTTTGTATTCCTAGCACTATAGTACCCTTTTCAAGTCCCTGCAGTTCAATGTTTAGTGAATAAGCCCTGTCACTGTACAGACTGGATGCATGCTGATCTGGTATATAGAGTGGGTGTATGTCTGGGTATATGGGTACAGCAGTTACCCCCTAAACTGGAGCAATCATGCCACCCCTCTCCTTCTCCCTCCCCCTTCCCTGCTCCTGCATAGTGCATGTTTTCCAGCTAAAATTATAGAATTAACTGCAAATGTGCTGAGCAAAATGTAATTCTTTTTAGAATTGGGCTCCAGGGGCTTATTTACCAAAAGAATGAAAGCAGAATTTTCAAAGTTCAGTCCTTTGATAAATACAAACCAGGTGTGGATTATTTGCACTTAATGATAAATATCTGGTTTAGCTGTGAGCCAGTTCACGGTTTAGCCAATATACCATAAATTCTTCACCTGATGCTAAACTCCCACTCTCAGAATGCTCAGCCAGAGACCATGTTCTCACCATTTCCTATAGCCATAAACAGATTGCTATAAACCATCCCAATCCTTGCATGTGGACTCACAGGGATACATATTATATGCTCAGATTAATTTGCTCTAAAGTCTAGCCAACCTTATTGAGCTAGAAGAATAGCAACCACAGGGGAAACAGTTTGATTTAATTTTAATTAAATCTTTGCCATTTTTATGAGACCAGCTTTTGCTAATTTAATACACTCTGTGCAATTGTGACACAGTTCAATGTAGACAGCTGCTGCTAGGAAATTTAACTCCAACAACTCCACGTGATGGTAAGGGTTAATCCTCTCAAAATCTGAATTATTCAGAGGAATTCTCTTGTAGGAAAATGATGGATTTTCAGCTGTGTAGTTACAGACAGCTCAAGGCTTTGACCGAATTTATAAATGAGACACAATAAACATGGTGATTCAAGCTTTGCAGAGTGTAACTGTTTAACACATTGTATACAATTTAAATCCCCCCACTCCTACCCCTTCCCTGACTGCAACCCTTTTGGAATAGTTGGTGGAACCGTTGACCAACCTGGTGGGTAGAACTGGATATAGATGTTGTTATGGTGCTGATGTGAACCTTTTGGACTTCACTGTTAGTTCAGCATCAATCTTGATAAATACACAGCCAGTAAAACACTTTATGTTGTAGAAGGTGAAGCTGTTAAAGATTTAAAATCTAGGTATACTTCATAAATACTCATCATCAGAAACCTGCCATACTCCCTACCCTTACTGTCCCATGGGTGGAGGTAGGAAGAAGCCAGGGTTGTCCTCACAGACGGCGGTTGATAAAGGACTTTTCTTCTTCTTGATGGGTTCAAACCTTTTGCAAACTCTGCCTCTACTGAAATGAGATGTAAGGTGGTCTCTGGAAGCACTATAATGTAGCAGTGAGTGTCCACGAAGGCTGCCTGGAGTTTGGGTCAGAGACTGACTAAAGACAGAAGCCAGTTTCTCTCTGTAGCTGTTCCTAAACCTTTTTGCAGACCTGTACAGATTGCCAACAAAGCAATAACACAAAGGGTTAAGTGTGGAGTTAGTGAGTCCAAGCCACTGGGCGAATGGTCTAGCCTGAAGAATCCATTCATGTTTTGGCTCATCCAAGACTTCACCGGTGGAAATATGGGTCATGTTGATGTCTATCCAGATGTCCAGAGCATATAGAGGGAGCCAGGACACAGTAAACAGGAGAACCAGTGCCACCACCATCTTGGCAATTTTCCTCCTGACTTTGAGCCTTGAATCTGACATGGACCAGTTGTTGTGGTCAATCACAGAGTCCCCTGAGCCCCAAAGCTTACGGCTGGTGAGGAAGCAGATTAAAAGGTTGAATAAAACCGGGAATCCATAGAGTGCACAGAAAAGCAAGAAATTATAGACCAGCTTCATGTGAAGACTTGGCCAGCTCTCAGTACAGACTATAAGTGCCAGTTTTCCAGGGAGAAGGACCAGGTTCTGGGTTTTATTCATGAATATCAGAGGGATACAGAGACAGGAGGAGGACAACCAGACCAGGCAGATCATGAGGACTATCTTTCTGGTGGTGAAGAAGGACCTGGCATGTAGTGGATTGTGGACACTGTAATATCTGTTCAAGCTGATGAAAGCCAAGGTGAGGACACTGGCCGAGACAGAGACTGCTTGGACAAAGGGCACAGCTCTGCACAAGAAATCTCCAAACACCCAAGCGTTGTGCACCTGGTGGCCAAGATTTATGGGCATGCAGATGCAGATGACCATCATGTCACACACCGCCAGGTTAAACAGAAGATTTCTGGTCCCTGAAACTCTAGAGAATCCACAGCCTCTTCTCCTACGGGACCCCAAGACCCTCAAAGCCATGATATTGCCCACCAAACCCACCAGAATGGAGATGGAGTACATCACCACCAAAGCAATGGTTCCAGGTTCATGGGTAGACAAGAGGACACTGCTGGAGAAGACTGGAAGCTCCCAGCGACTGGAATTCCCAGGTAACATGTAGGCAAAAAGGGACATATTCCAGGGGAACAGGTCCCCAATGTGATGAGGCAGTTCCATTGCACTCATCTCAAGCTATGAGTGACAGAATAGAACGTGGCCATCTGTCTGCATGGTGTCACCCTTAATCCCACCATGATATCTTCAGCTACAGATTGAGGGAGCAGTCTCTTGGATGTGTCAAAGCCAGAACAGACTACTTTCATGTGGGCCTGGCATCCAGGTGGGACATGGTGGAGTCTCCACAGTAATAGACCTTGTCAGCAGATGTGAGGATGTACGATCTGGGGATATCTTCCCAGTTTGAAAGTCTCTCCCTCAATAAACTGCTGGTGTTCCGTTTGAAGATTTGTCACTCCATTGGCTCCTCAATGTCCCCATCCATGTTCTTGCAGCATGTAAAGTGCTGAGGGTGGGGAGCTGTCCACAGTCTGGGTGCTGAACAAGCCAGAGAAGGAATCTGTGGGCTTTATGGGCTGTGACTGAGTGACTCACACCAATGAGCACCCTCTACCTGTTAGCTCAGACACGTTCCTTTATTCTTCAGCTTCTCCTCCTGGACAGGCTGGTCTCCTGCCAGGGTCACTGTCTGCCTTCTAATCCAAGGTAGAGGGGGGTTAAGGGGTGGTGGTGGAGGAGGAATTATCACCTCCTATATATACAAAGCAGCAGCATGGGGCTCTCAGGGAATATTCAAAGTGTTAAATGACTATCCCCTTCCTCCTGGGTTCAGACTTTGTGAAATGATCTTGACTGAGAGAATTCATGTCTCTCCCCCCTTTTCCTTTCATCACGGCTAACCCTCCTTGGGAATTAGGAATTCCAAACAAAGATTACAGATCTACACTGTCATGTAGCTTTTAGAACATTGTGTAGCCCAGGCACACAGTATACATTGTAGCCATGGCTGGCAGTACAAACTGCTGAGAAAGGGTTAAATAAAAGGGGATTTACCAAATTGTAGTGAATTGGAAACCATTTACCTAGCTGATTTAGAATAATAATAAATCCTCTCTCTGTGAGATCCAGTTAGAATTAAACTATTCAAGCTGTTTGCCTCAATGTTTTGCAAATCTCTTTTCAATCCACTATGGTTCGCGGTTTAGCGAATAAGCCCCACTTGTAAAATGTTATCTTTACATTTTGTAGCCGTGACATAATTGTGTTTTTTATTTTAGATTTTGTACCGTATCATTTCTATTCAGTGTTTTGAACACTGGACAATGTTTTGTATCTCTGACTGTTAATGTCTGCTGGCAGAACATTTATCCCCCAGGATTTTTCAGGTACCACATTATGAATGTCTGTGCCAAGACACAGTGCTATAATTAGGATTCGGTGATCTGTGGGTCAGTTGGCACAAAGCAGGCAGCAGTTAATCCAACATAGGATAAAAAGTCCAATTTGAGATTGCTCATGCATTAAGCTGACAATGGCAGTCAGATAACCATTATAGAAACTAGTCCCAATATGTTGGGCTTCCATTTATCCCAGCCCAGGAGAACCGCACTGACTTTGCAGAGAGCCGTTTGAAGTGAGGTTACAAAGGCCAGAGCAGTTAGCTTGCCATTTATTTAATTTCTATTCTACACCTCTAGCTGCAGACAGACTGCCTAAACAAGAGGAAAATGTTTTATTTTATTTTATAAATTGATAAATAGGGGATAATTTTCCTCTTCTGTAGTTGAATTTAAGGTATTTGAATATGTAAACGTTTAAAAATTTATGATTTTGTCTTTCATTTTTTTTAAACTTATTTTTTTTTTCTCTGCATACTTTTTCGACATTATCAGATTGTCATCTCAAACACATTTTTCACATGATATCAGAAGGGAGAGAAATAAATTGACAGATTCCCATCTGTTTAATATTCCAGTAACAGTCTGTCCTATGAATATAGGAAGGATTTATAAGATGTCTTAGTTTGTGTGTTTTTTATTTATCTGCTTTTCCCACGCTAGCTCAGACCAATATTTTGCGGCTTGGGGTTTACTTGCTCAACTGAAATTCATGGATCGATGGATTGGACGAATCTTACAATATCCCAACTTGGCTTTTTCAACCTAAAAGCGACCATTCCCTTGTCCATTCTCAACTGTTCCAAGTTTAGGGAATATAGGCCTTGTCTTAATAATTTTGGAGAGATTTTCAAATGATTCAATATTTTTGGATTAAATTTCTTAAATTAAACAAAAAAAAGAATAAAAATCAATATCTAATTAAATCATTTAAAAAGCTTAACCAAAATATGAAATCGATGTTGAGTGTATAAACCCTTGGCTGTCAAGCTACAACTCAACTTGCATAATAAGCAATGTGACTTAATTGGAGATCCAGCCGTAGGATTAAATGTATTTTACTTGATGATAAAATGTAAATGTTCCATCCGTTTATCCATCTATGTGTTCATACATTCTTGGCCTGTTTCAATTCTTTTGAGGTAAGAACCTGTTTATTACAGTTAAAAAACTCAGTATTTCCCAGAATTGTTCCATTTCTTTCCACTATGGGCAACCCCCGTATTCTCCTCACTAATTGCAGTCCTGGTATAATTGTACTTTTCACCTTTTGTCAGTAGAGGGCCTGATTTATTTTAGATTTGTTACATAAGTGAGCTTAGCGCATATATAACCAGGGCAGCCTGTCTAGTGGTGAAATACCCTATAGTTCCCATCTACACATTAGAAACTGCAACATTTTAAATTTTAATGTCACTATGGCAACACAATAATTTCACTGCCTTCATAGAACTCTCAAGATTCCCAACCAGTGATAGAAGTTATAGCTCATCGCCTCTTGTATGTGGGTAACCATAACCTCCCTCCCCCCAACTTCTTCTAAACCTACCTAACACTGGTCTACTGTGCATCATTACAACACAGCGTATAGCATTCCCTCCCACCATTATTTGGTTAGTGTTGTGATTAATAGCAGTAAAAAAATAAATCTGCATTTAAACTCTAATAAAAAAAAAAGTGCTTTAATTCCACAACAAGACGTATTTTAGATTCATTATGAGTCACATTAAACTGCACTTCAGCTGTGCAGAATTGGCAAAGGAACTGTGAGCTTTAGCCCTAATTTAAAACATTATCCTTTGATCCTTATGATATTCTTCCTATAACACCTTTATGGGCCCGAGCTTGTCACCCACTTTTTTCCTGCAACCCCAACATCAATGTCCCCATAATATGCAGCATGAGAGTAAATGCTCTGCGCATGGGCGGCCCTGATTGGTTGCTTGTCATCCTTTCACACATGCTTGGTAGAGGCGAGGAGCTGCTGTTGTGTTCTGTGTTACTTCCAAGATGGCTTCTTGCGTCTCTCTCCTGTAAGCACTAGCGCCAATCCCTGGGCGATCAGTCAATGATGACCCCTGAATAGAGCGGTCAATAGCATGCCTCCATTCAAGGGTAGCTGGTTCTGCTGCCTGAATGGCAACTCAGTGGAAATTCCTTCTTAAGTGACACCAGGCATGTGCAAAACCTGCTGAAACAGGGCAGCTTGCAGACATGCCCATGTATCTATTTTGGCATACCTAGATGCTCTCAAGAAAGATTCTCTAAATGGCTATGAATGAGCGGGGAGGGGCCCTGCAGAGCGGAAACCCATTACAGAATTAAAGAGACATAAATTTTCTTCCATTTTTATTTATTTTTTGGCTTGCCATCATTTCCAAAATAATCTATTTCTAAACTACTGCAAACATCCCTCCCAACCCCCTCACCCATAAAAACTGGTGATTGGTGAGGGCCTCAAGTGCTCCTATGGGTGACCCTCAACTGCCCATACTATCCCCTTGCTGGCACCAAAACTGTTGTAAATGCTATGTTTGAACACACACACTGTCATGCCAGTACACCCCTACTCTACAGCTACCTCTATCACGGTTATATATTATTGATGTCAAGTTTGGCAGTCTGTTTCTGATTACGTTGTGTTTTTTTTTTCCCCCCCCCCATTTTTTTCTATTAATAAGCAACCTCCTTTTTAAGCTGCAAGCTCATTTTGAGCAGGGCCCACACAACTTATTAGAACCTATTCCAGAGATTGAAGGGTTAATCCTTGCTACGCACGCTCTACAAGTCTGTGGATTCTAGTTGCGCATCGACCAGCAAGATATATAGATAGTGCATGCTGGCAGCCAAGTATCAAATATGTATGTGTTCGCAACAGATCAGTGCCCCTGTGGGAGCCCCTGTGGGAGTGAGGAGGTGTTGTCGTCTGTGACAGTAATTGTGCAAGTGTTTGGTGTTGATCTCCCGCCCCCACCCTTTCTCCCTACTTCCTATTTCATTGGGCTCAAACATAGAATGGTTAATTTCACCATCGAGAGGTGGTAAAGGTACGGTCATTTTGACTGGTTTGAGTGTGATAAAATGAATCTGTTGCTACGGTACGTATTTTATTTATAATATCGTGGATTTTTTTTACCCCTATCCACCTCTCTGTGCTACACACTAATACTGTATATGTACGCATTCATCGTTACTGCTACACTTTACTCTTATCAGCATCGATAGACAAGCCATCTCCGCAGCCACTCGATAGTGCTATGTGCACTGTGGTATTGTGTCCAAATCTGACCAACCTTGGACGGCAATGATGGGTTTCGGGCACTGGGCTAACCCGGCCCGGAACTTACAGCTCATTACTGTTATCCCAGGCCAGAGGAATATGCTGCAGCTCAAACTTCCCTGTTATGATTCCAGAGGGGCTGGACATAGCGGGTCAGGGAAAGCCTGTTTTTTGTCAAACTTCTAAAACTGTCTGGTCATCGGGCGAAGCCAAAGTGGAGATCAAAGGATTTGATTTAGCCAAAGATCTTCTTCACCTGCCCGGCCACCCTAATACTTGGGGAGACAAGAGAGCCAATGCCCTTACCAGGTTACCAAGGCAACAGTCTGATATATTCCTGGTACCGACCAGAATGAGCAGTCTACACCTGCCAGAACCCACGTCCGCCACACACTCAACAGGTTCTGTAAGATTGTTACACCCAGGGACCCCCAAAAAACTCAGTGTGCGTGGACTTTTTATTATAACCTTTTTTATATTTTATCAATACAGATTATAACACACAAAAAAACAACTTTTTTTTGTTTTGTTTTTTTGTTCTGTTTATATTTTTATATATTAAATAAAAAAGAGAAAAAGCATTTTGCCTTTAATTCTCCAAATCGGTATTCTGAACACATTGCGTTCTGAAAAGCATCGTCTCAAACAGGAACAAGCAATTCCAGCCCTTGACAAGCAATAAAAGGCTTGATTTTAAACATCTCCTTGCTTGGGAACAGGAGTCAATCACAGCCTTATTCTTGTGATTGATTTACCTGTCTGTAAGCAATGTCATTCAAACTGCAATTCACAG